GGGGTGGGACAGTGGGCGGGCGCATTCACTGTAGGCTGGTTGCGTCGCTTGAGGTACAACGTGTCCCCGCGCCCTGCGAATGAGCACGCACGCTATTGGGGCTGGACGAATGTAATGTCTGGCCGGGGTTATATATTCCGTTGCGGGTGCAACGGCCCGACGTGGACGGACGGCCGGACGTTTGGATTCCCCCGTGTTTGAGCCCGTCGTGGACGGAGGCAGCAGCCCACGGCGGACCCATGTCTGACCAGGAACTAGAAATCACGATCGGGCGTGAATGCGTGATGTGCTGGGCGCCTGGCTGGGTGAGAGGTGCGCGGGATCAAACACACGTCAACATGCATGCCGAACTTGTTGTTCGAAGATGCCTTGCGCGAGCTCGAATTCTCATTGTTCGTGCGGGCGGGCGTGCAAATCCTATCGGCGTCTCGCGTAGCGCTGACAACCCGCCCAGGAAAACCTGTTGCAATAAACCCAACGAACACTTCATCAAACACGCCGCACATCATCATCATCATCATCATCATCATCATCATCATCATCATCATCATCGTCATCATCATCATCACCACCATCATTTTCATTATCATCACCATCATCATCACCATCATTATTCATCATCATCATCCGCATGACCATCAATAGCCCCATCGGACACATCATGAAACGGATGAGATGGGATATGGACGCGGGAAAAGACGCGGAACTAGATATTCTCGTGGGTATGAGGACGACGAATTAAACGACTATCACACACTATGGCGCGGGTACCAGAAAGGGCGCGATAGCCCGATAACGACTATGATAACGCTTGCGATCGGATAAAACCGCGGACGCACACGCGATGGCGACAGCGACGACAGCGGGAAACACATGCCCGAAACCTCCCCGAAATCTGTCCGAAAACTGCCCGAAATCTGCCCGGAAGCTACCCGGAAGCTGCCCGCAATATGCCAGAGAACTCCCCGACCTGACCGCCACCCGCACCGTCAACGATACAAGGAACGGACACGAACGATTGGGGCGAAATGGAAGCAGATGGGCCGAACCGCTGGCGATCGAACTGACACAGGAATGCGACGCAACCGTCACGAATCGCACTACGCATCAACAAAGGAGCATCCATATATGGAGAAAGCATACGAGAAGGAGAAAGAGAAACAGACAGGGAAAGGGACAGAAAAACCAAATTACTCCAACGGTAGGACCCCGCACGAGAATCTGGTTAGCTTACCCTTTGCCCTTTCCTCCTCTCCCTGGCGGACACCCTCTCCCCTCGCCCCCTGCACTGCCCTCTCTTCCCCCTTCTATTTCTTTTCCTCCTCCTCTTTCTCCTCTGTTTCCTCTTTTTCCTCTTTCTCCTCTTTCTCCTCCTCCTCCTCCTCCTCCTCCTCCTCTCGCGCCACCTCCTCCTCGTCGTCGGCCTCCCCCATGCCCCTTCCCTCCTCATCCCCCTGCCTTTTCTCCATGTGCACCTCCCCTTCCCCCTCGTCGGGGCAAGCAAATCCATTTTCCTCAGCGCCGTCGCCGCCTCGGCCAGCGCGCTCGGGAAGCGGGCCCCATAGGGAGGGGGCTCCCGCCTGAGACTTCCTCACAATTCACTCACAGACGAGGCTCCCGCTCGAGACTTCCTCCATATTCAAGTCTCAAGAGCCCAAAAGTGACGACAGTTGCACGTTGCGGATGACCCGCTCGGATTCGAACATGAAGCGCGGGCTCCATAGGGAGGGGGCTCCCGCCTGAGACTTCCTCACAATTCACTCACAGACGAGGCTCCCGCTCGAGACTTCCTCCATATTCAGGTCTCAACAACCCAAACGTGACGACAGTTGCACGTTGCGGATGACCCGCTCGGATTCGAACATGAAGTGCGGGCCCCATAGGGAGGGGGTTCCCGCCTGAGACTTCCTCGCAATTCACTCACAAACGAGGCTCCCGCCTGATACTTCCTCCATATTCAAACCTCAAGAGCCCAAAAGTGACGACAGTTAAACGTTGCGGATGACCCGCTCGGATTCGAACATGAAGTGCGGGTTCCATAGGGAGGGGGTTCCCGCCTGAGACTTCCTCGCAAGTCACTCGCAGACGAGGCTCCCGCTGGAGACTTCCTTTATATTCAGGTCTCAAGAGCCCAAAGGTGACGACAGTTGCACGTTGCGGATGACCCGCTCGGATTCGAACATGAAGTGCGGGCTCCATAGGGGGGGGGGGTCCCGCCTGAGACTTCCTCACAATTCACTCACAGACGAGGCTCCCGCCTGATACTTCCTCCATATTCAGGCCTCAAGAGCCCAAAAGTGAAGACAGTTAAACGTTGCGGATGACCCGCTCGGATTCGAATATGAAGTGCGGGTCCCATAGGGAGGGGGCTCCTGCCTGAGAGTTCCTTGCAATTCACTCACAGACGAGGCTCCCGCTCGAGACTTCCTCCATATTCAGGTCTCAAGAGCCCAAAAGTGACGACAGTTGCACGTTGCGGATGACCCGCCCGGATTCGAACATGAAGTGCGGGTCCCATAGGGAGGGGGCTCCCGCCTGAGACTTCCTCACAATTCAATCACAAACGAGGCTCCCGCTCGAGACTTCCCCCATATTCAGGTCTCAGGAGCCCAAACATGACGACAGTTGCACGTTGCGGATGACCCGCTCGGATTCGAACATGAAGTGCGGGCCCCATAGGGAGGGGGTTCCCGCCTGAGACTTCCTCACAATTCACTCACAATCGAGGCTCCCTCTCGAGACTTCCTCCATATTCAGGCTTCAAGAGCCCAAAAGTGACGACAGTTGCACGTTGCGGATGACCCGCTCGGATTCGAACATGAAGTGCGGGCCCCATAGGGAGGGGGCTCCCGCCTGAGACTTCCTCGCAAGTCACTCACAAACGAGGCTCCCGCTCGAGACTTCCTCCGTATTCAGGTCTCAAGAGCCCAAAAATGACGACAGTTGCACGTTGCGGATGACCCGTTCGGATTCGAACATGAAGTGCGGGCCCCATAGGAAGGGGGTTCCCGCCTGAGACTTCCTCATAATTCACTCCTTAAACGAACTCCCGCCTGAGACTTCCTCCAGGTGAGTATGTGAATGAGTGAGCGTGTGACAGAGTGCGAGTGATGATGATGATGATGATGATGATGATGATGAGTATGTGAATGACTGAGCGTGTGAGAGAGCGCGAGTGATGATGCTGATGTTGATGATGAGAGAGTGTGAGTGAGTGTGAGTGTGAGTTAGTGGTGATGATGAGTGAGTGAGTGAGTGAGTGAGTGAGTGTGCGAAGGCAGAAGAGGAGAGGGGGTGGGGTGAGTGTTCCTGCGCGGGGTGTGCAGAGAAAACAAGAGCCCCACTTTGGATGTGGGGAAAAAAAGATAGAGAAAGATCAGGAGGAAGAGGGGAGGACAAGGAGGAGGCGGAAAAGGAGGAAGACGAGGAAGAGGAGGAGGGGGATAATGGGGGCGAGCAAGAACGCGGCCGCGAGAGAGATGAGAAGAAAAAGGAAGGGATAACTGTGGCGAGGGAGGACTGGTGGGGGCGGATGCGGCGGGATAAGGACGGGGAGAACGAATGCGACGACGACGGATGCTCAGACGGTGGTCTGGGGACGGTGAAGAGGGGGGCGCCGTTTAGCTAGAAGTCTGCGCGCAGCGTGAGCGCCGCGTTTCGCATCGCGCTTTCGGCGCGCATGCGCGGTCGAACCCGCGCGTCGCAAACTAAGACTGAAAGGGTCCGGGGCCAATATGCGCCGCTCGCAACGACGGGCGCGATCGCGGGCGGCATCGCGCCGACGGCGCTGGCCGCGCACCAAGAGCCGCAAAACCGAAGTCTACGAACGGCCGCGGGCGGAACGCTGAATACGATTTCCACGAGCCGTTGCGTTGCAGAAGCCAGCGGCTGCCGCGGCCGCGATTCGCTGGACGCAGACAGCACGCGCGAACCACTGCCATGGTAAACCGCTACCCGCGCAGTCCAACCGCCGCGCCACGCGCGGGCGACCGCGGACGCGCGCGAGATTGCAACTGAAGTGCAGGCGCGCTTAGACATCGCGGCCACACGTTATTGAACAAAAAACATATCATGTAAAACATGTCGGATCTAATTTCGGGAATAAATTTGTTAGTCGGTTCTCTGGGTTGAGAAACCGCCTCGTCGAGCTTCGCGAAACCCGCTGCCGCGAGATGATCCACGTCATCGTGCGCGTAGTCCCTACCCGTGGTCTCGGTCTCCCACGCCAAAAGTGGCACGGCGCCCAGGGAGGGCGCCGCGGGCGTCACGCGCGCCTGAGGCCCAGCAGCGGCCCGCGCGGCGGCGGCTGGCGGCGCAAGGGCGTCGGGCGCCGTGGCGGCGCCAGTCGCGAGGCGGGGGGGCCAGCGGCGCGGGCACCGCAACAGCGGCCGCTTTGCCCGCGCCCCACCGCAGCGCGGCGGCCAGCGCCGGGCCGGGACCGCAAGGCAAGCGGCGACCACCATGGCTGCTGCACGTTGTGGGGCGCCCCCATCCCGTCGACAAAAAGGGCATCTCGGCGCGCGGCCGTGCCAAAAACAGTTTGAGCGCGCAATCCCCTTCCTCTGCGGCCTCTTACACGTTCACCCTACCTTCTAAGCTGGCGCAGTGAACTGCCAGATCAACCTTGAACGCCCGCGGCGGGGTCGCCGCTGCGTCGGCACGACTCCCTCCCTCCCTCCCTCCCTCCCTCCCTCCCTCCCTCCTCCTCCTCCTCCTCCTCCCTCCCTCCCTCCCTCCCTCCCTCCCTCCCTCCCTCCCTCCCCCTCCCTCCCTCCCTCCCTCCCTCCCTCCCTCCCTCCCTCCTCCCTCCCTCCCTCCCGCCCTCCCTCCCTCCCTCCTCCTCCTCCTCCTCCTCCTCCTCCTCCTCCTCCTCCTCCTCCTCCTCCTCCTCCTCCTCCTCCTCCTCCTCCTCCTCCTCCTACACCGAAAAACTCAAGCGCCCGGGCGGGACCCTGCATGGGCACAGGCGGGCAGGCGGCGGCGCAGCCCGACTCATCCACTGGCACCGTCTCTCTCAGGATCCGAGCACCAGCCCTGCGCACCTGCTCCTCGAGGGGCAACGGGGGGCACCAGCTCGGGGGGGAAACATCGAGCTGGAGTCAGCAACACGTCGCCGTCGGCGACAGGCCCCCGGTAGTGAATCCGCACGCTTCTGGGCGGGGTGGGCTATCGGGCCTTCCTCGGCGACCGATGGGCGAGTGGGGCCCGATGCGATCCCCCGTGAACATGCCCCCCACCAACTTCTAAGCAATAAAATGCTCCTAACCAAATGGGAATTCGCCGGCCCACCGGGCCAGAGGCGTGCTAAGATTTCCGGTACCTGCGTGCAGTATTTCTACTTCGCGTGCGCGGAGCGGCCCTGGGGGGTCCCCGGACGAAAAGTACCCCAGGCGGTCCCCGGCCAGTTCGGGTCAGAGCTCCCCAGCCGGGTCGGGTCGGGTGGGCACTGCTCTCGAGGCCCTCCAGAAAGCCCCAAGAAGGGACAAGCTCCAAGAGGCCCCCAAGATAGAACAAGAAGGCTCCGAGATGCCACTAAGATCGCTCCAAGATGCCCAATATTGCCCCCAGACACCCCAAGAGGCTTCCAAAAGCACTCCCAAGAGGGCCCTAAGAGGTAACATTCGCTGATTGTCCTAAGGTTTTAGACAGATTTGGGCGCTTCCCGACGCCTCAAGACGGCTCAAGAGGTCCCCAATATCGGCCCAAGAGGGTTCAAGAGAACCCCAAGAGAGCCCCAAGACGGCCCAAGAGGGCCCAAGAAGGCTCCAAGAACGCCCCAAGAGAGGCCCCGGAGGGGGAGCAAGAAACAACATTTCGAGCCCTAGGCCATGATCAGCCCCCCGGAGGTCCCCAGAGGTCCCTAAGAGGCCCCCAACAGGCGGTCAGGAGGCCGCCAAGAGGCCCCAAAGAGCCCTAAAAAGTCTCCAGGTTTAGACGTCCCCGAAAGCCTCGGAGAACTCCCAAGAGCTTCCTGTGCACTGCCTCCCAGTGCGCGAAAATGGGCCGGCGGAGTGAGCGAAGCGATTAAATAGAACACCCCTAACCCAATGGGAGGGACCTGAGGTAGGGGAACTGGAAAGACTAGGGATACGGATCCTGTTTTGCGGATGTATCAAATACAGCCACCCAATGTTTAGGGACTGTTTATATAAACTGTTCAGGGATACCTCTACATAAACTGGTGATCGAATGTTAGGTCTCGAACTCATTGTGCTATCAGGGTTAGGGGTCGCATTAAACTCACTGACCCACCGTTCCGCATGACTCCTGCTGGTCGATGTGCTCCCTGGCCTCTGGCGCCTTGTTCAAGAGACCGCAGCTCAGCAGCGCGTAGCTGGAGGCGTGGAGCATCAGCTGCTCGCCCGTCACCCCGTCCCCGGCCAAGGACTCGGCGCTGGACAGCTCCGAAGGGGTCCTTCGGCATCTTCAGACCCACGACGACGCCAGAGATCCGAGGTTCCAACAAAAACTGGAGCGGCCGGTTGTTGCTGCTGTTTTCGGCCTCCCAAGGGGCTCAACGGGCCCCAGAACCCGTCGAAAAACGACTCAAGATGAAAAGCAGGCCGTATGTGGTGCAGACCTCCGGAGGTCCACGCCTCGACAGCATTGGCACGCTGGATGCCTGGGAGCCAGGACACCGACGAGACCGGACCAGGACACATCGGGAACCTCTGAGGTTCGGCGGTTCTCGAAGACGCATCGGGCGCCGCGGCCGTCCCAGAGCGCTCTGGAACGCTCCGATCGCGCTCCATAGCTATCGGGTCCTGGGCCTGCCCGACCATCCATCGTCCCTGGTGGCCCGTGGCCGGAGGGACAGGGCTCCCCAGCGCCACAAGCCTGGGCGAGGTGGGGATGGATGCCTCCAGGCCCAGTGGAGAGGGCATCAGCGGGGCCAAGGCTTTCCCTCGGGGACGATAACGACGTGGACAGGACTGGCTCAGGATGCGTTCTCGGAATATCGGAGTATCCGGCGGGCCTAGATTATGCAGAACGTGTGGAGCATTCGGAAATCTTGGGGATCCTGAACAAATATTGGAACGAATCATTATCATGACCTCTTGCCCATCTGATTCCCGGTGTGATGCCGAGTCCTTTCAAGCCACTTCGGCGTGCAAGACCTGGACCTGGACACGCGCGCGAACAGCTCGTTCTTCTTGCCCGTTTCCTCCTTTTCGGGGTCCCAAAACCCTGTGGTAACGGAGCGCGTGATGACCTCGAAATCTACAAAGACCTCACCGCGCGGTCCTGCATCACATAGTTTGGGAACCCTGGAAGCACCAATCGTCCGAAACACCCTGGGAGAACGACCCGAGTTTCCAAAACGGCGCAGTGACCCCCGATCCACACAGACCGCTTAAAGGCCCTCGATCCTTGGCCTTGGCAAAGCGGGTGGAGAAGACAGACTTGAACGCTTCGAAATCTTTTGGATCGACAGCCTCGTCTCTCTCTGACTGCCTGAGGGGATCAGGAACCCATGAGCATAATTTCTCGGAGGTCCACGCGGGATCCTTCATCGGCGCTGGACCCCGGAGCGCGCCATGGGCGGCGCCGGAGGCGCCGCCAGGAGGGCTCAACGCCGATCCAAGAAATCCGCGCGGACCTCCGAGAAATCAGACGTATGGCGTTGTTGTTGTTGTTGCTCTCGATGCCTCTGCTCCATGCGGACTTGGATAGCTTGGGTGCGCCTGGCCATCTCCTGCCGGATCTGCTCCTCGTCGACCCTACCGCCTCCTTCAGAGGCGAGCGAGAAGACGGCGATCATCGGGTTCATTCCAGCCTCGAGGAGCTTGTGGACCGTGTAATGCGAGAGCCACTCCTTCAACTTCTCTGCGTCCAGATCCTCAGTCTTCGCGCGGCTGATAAGATCCAGCAGCCCCTTGTCCTGGCAGATGCCGCGTACCTCATCCATGTAGAGATCCTTCTCCTCGTCCCAGCGGCTCTGCGTCCATTCTTCTGGCTTACGCTGCGCCTGCGGCGGACCCTTGTCAATCTGCCGCAAGGCAACCCTACGGAGCCTGTCCTGGGGAAACCAAGAAAGCGCCGATACCGCTACTCTCCAAACCTCTCCCGGACTGCGTTCAGACCAAGAAGTCCATGCTGATACAACCGTGGTGGCGAGGGCCTCCCAGGATGGCTGACATACACAAACACAATTAAAGGGTACTCTGAGGTCCGACGTTACGGACAAAAACAACACCATCTCAGAAAATAAAGTTCAGAAACCTACACGGTTTATGCTCTAGACCCCAACTGCCTGGTGCATTTTCGAGCCGGATCGATATGTGAGGGTTCCGCCTGGGGCGCCAAAACGGAGAGACCAAGAGCAAGAGCACCCTCGAGAAGTTCGAGAAAGCAAGCGGTCTCAATTGCCACGCCGCCGATGGTTTGAGGATATGGGGCTGAAAATGGTCATCCGAATTCACGTTCAACTTGTTGTTCAAGGGCACGGTTGGCTGGTGGGCGCCTGCGTTCTCGAAGGCGCGCACCCGAAAGACAGGCATTGAATTCGCGGACGTCGAGTCGACACTTATATTTCGCGATGGCATGTCCCAAAAAGCCATGGGACATGCGCCAACTCCTGGTTTGCCCACGCACGTGAGGCCGCGTGTTTGAAATCGTTCAAAAATCTCTCGGATGAGCTCATGTGAATGTTTGTTCGTGCTGTCGGCGGTTGCAGAGGATCGAATTGGCAATGACGGCTCTCTCGGCGCCGAAACGCGGCCCTTCCGCGCGCCTCGGCACCCCAGGGAAACGCTCCTGCGCAGCAGGCGCGGGCCCGCCAGCCATCGTAGCAAATCGGTTGTAGCGGCAGGGGTGCATTTGGAGACGCACAAGCGGACGCGCGGCGACCGCTTCGTGAAGCCCAAGTACCACTACGTTCTGCACATCGCGAAGGACGTTCTCAAAGAGCTCGATGGGTTGGTAACGCAACGCCACACTGAGACGAAAAAGGCAGCCACCGACGTCGCGGAAAACGCGCGGCAGACGGAGGGCACGGTCCTCGGGCGCGCCGCACTCGAGATATGCGGCTGCCTTCTCGGAGCGCGTGAGGGATGCGATGTGTTGCGCTCTACCCTCGGGGTCGACGCTGTGCCCGTGGCTACTTCTATGGCGTCAATCAGGGCTGCGTGCCATGCGGGGCAGGTCGTTCGGGCAGCTGGCGGGGAACGCTGTCCCATCGAAGCGTGCGCAGCCATAGCAGGCGAACTGCACGTGGTCCCGCGCATGATGCGAATTGCAACGGCGACTGGTACAGTGGGCGTTGTGAGTGTGGTGCGGGCACTGCTCGTGATGAAACTGTCGGACTCTGGCCCGGAGACCGCCATGAGGCTGTGACGGGTCAGCTCGAAATGTGACTGTGTCCGTACGTATTGTTATTTGTCTTTCTCCCTCTCTCTCTCTCGACCTCTCCTTTTCTCTGTCCCTCTCTCACTCTCTGTTTCTCTCTCCCTCTCTCTCTCTCTCGCGTTATCTGCCTCTCTAGTTCTTTCCCTCTTTATCATGTTCCTTATATGTCTCGTCATGTGTATGTTGCTCTCTCGCTGCGCGTCGCTCAGGCTATTGACTGGTGCCTGCAAGCCTGGCGGCGCACCGACCGCACTCGCGCCGCGCGTGAAAGGCCGGTTCCGAGGACGATGACATTTCCTCCAACACCGGCCTGGCAGCACACTGACAGTGGCTCACAGATCGAACCCAAGTCACTGACGACCCCACTGATGACCCTGACGCAGCACCACCCGGGCACACAGCCGCCGCACCCCGTTGCCGCACCCTTTCATGCAGATCCACATGGGGGTGGCGTCGACGGGGGGGGCGAAAGTTGAGCGCGCCGTCCGGCGCGAGATGATCTTTATCTTCCTCGGAGGGTGCCCATTGCGCGCGAGTTGTCCACCGTCGCGGTGTCCATGTTGCAATTTGGTGATTGGGCGGGCTTCGTGACGGCCGGCTTCGTGCTCGGGCGAAGCGAACAGGTTTGGGGCGCGCGCGCATTAGCGTTCAGGAGCGGTCGTCTGGCATGGCCCTTGTCCTCGCGCGAAGTGATGCGCCATTAAGGTCGCGCTCTCGAATGATCCTTAGAATTGGCAGTGGATTGCATGGCTCATTTCCGAGGAGTCGCGCAGCGCGCCTAAATCTTGAAGGGTGCCACCTTCTTCAGCCACTACTGGAGGGCGCGGGGCCACGTCGCGCCGGGGCCCCGGATTTCTTGATCCCAGGCCAAGGCCCATCGTACTCTAGACGACGCGTTCTCTGAGCAAGGCCGCGTCTGAATCCTCGTAGCTAGAATGGCACGCGATGTAATGAGACAACATCGCGGGGGCGCATGGTTTGACCCTGCTGCTCGTTTAGACACCGCCCCCGCTATCTTCATGTTTCTGGCGTTCGCGACTGGTGCGGGACGGGCGCATGCTAGCGGGCCCTTTCACGAGAGTACTTTGGCCCCCTGTCCGAGGCCCCTCGCACGCCCCTCCCCGCCCCGTTGCCCCCCCCAAGCCCCTACCTGGGCAGGCCAGGGTCATCGCTGCACCTCGCGTTCAAAGCGCATCGCCTCTTACTGCTGTCGTCGTTGCCCAGGGGGCGGGGGGAGGCAGGAGGAGTGAGGAGGAGGGAGGAGGAGGGGGGCGGGGGGGGGGGGAGGGGGAGGAAGGATGGGGGGCGAGGAGGAAGGAGTGGACAGCGGAGGAGGGAAGAGGAGGAGGGAATAGAAGCGAGGATGGCGTCCGGGTGCCACTGCGCGGCCGCGGCCCCGTGAGGATCTCCGATGCGGTTTGCCATCGAACACGCTCAGCTGCCTTCGCCAAGTCAGGCTACGCGGTCTCAATTGTCCTGAACCAGACGGCACTAGTTGTCTCAATTTGTCTCAAAGTTTCTCACCAAGCGAACCTTTCTGTCTCAATTTCTCTCCATTTGGGTCGTCCCCGGGATATTATATCTCAATTTCTCTCAATTTCTCTCAAAATCTCTCAAATATTCTCAATTCCTCTCAATATAGCTTACCATGAGAAAGCGCTACTACACAACAGCATCTTGATGGGCCGTTGCTCTCTCAAAAGACCTTTTCGCGACGTCCCTGGGAATGCCCTCGGCTCCCCGACCCGCTTCCTTGCCTCTCGAGGTAATCGAGAATAGGGTCCCCGTCCACCCTCTCCCTCCCTGCCTTGACTCCATCCTCTCCCTCCCCGCCTTGACTCTCCATCCCTCCCTACATCACTCTCCCCTTCCCTCCCCTTCCCTTCCTGCCTCCCCCCTTCCCTCCCTCCGTCCCTCTCCTCCCCCCTCCCCCTCGTCGTCGTCGTCGTCGCGGCGGCGGTTGGCCGGCGCCCGCTCCTCTTGCCCCCTGGGCCCGCTGCTCGGGGGAGGGCGGGCTCCCCGAAGCGCCGGTGGGAAGCCCTTCGGCGTGGCCCCGTCGGAAGCCTCCAGCGCCCCTCCTAGGGCCGTCCCTGGAGTCCTTGGCAGTCATGCGAGGTCTTCGGCGTGTGTCCGAAGCCTCTGCAGGTTGTCGGCCGCCCCTGGAGGCTCTCGGAAGCCCCGAGCCTTTCCAGGGTCCTCGGGACCCTTGGAAGCCGCCAGGGCTGGTGATCGTCTTGGGGGCCGGTGGGTTTCGGGGGGCTTCGGCTGCCTCTGGCGGCTTTCGGTGGTCTCCGGGAATCCCCCTTGCGATCCTCGGAGGTCCATGGCAGCCCTCGGAGACCCTTTGTGGTCCCTGGTGTCTGCTTGGGCTCTTCGGGGGTCGTCGGGGATGTCTGGAAGCCTTTGGATGCCTCGGGGGGCTCGTCCTCCGGGGGGCTTGCAAAGTGCAAACGCACAAACATATGCACATGTGCATGTGCAAATACAGATGCACATGCCGAAATAATGATGATCCGGATTTGTGGTACGTTGTGCGTTGCAGGAACGATGCGTTGCTGTCGTCATTTTGCAACTGGTTTATGCTTGCAGGCGCAGTGGACTTGGGGATGCCGCCAAGGGGTCCGATCAGGCTTCTGGCGGCGGTTCGCTTGTGTAAATGTACGAAACCTCTGCGTCGTTATATCTGTTACGCTGTTGTGTGATTGCACCGAAATATTGTTGCAAAGCGCCCATTCTACAGACCCGCTGCGTCGAAGTGGTCTCGCGTGGCGGCCCTCCTCCATGGCGGCATCCATGGACGTTGCGCATTGTTGTGCAGCCGCGTACGTTTGGTTGTGTTTTGAGCGTGTTTGGTTGTGTTTTGAACACCCCTTGGCTCACTCAGCGGCGGTTTGATCGCCCCCCCCGTCTCCGCCACCCCCATGTGGATCTGAAGGGCCCTTGTCTCATACGCGCGCCCGCCGTCCCAGCGACATGGCAAGCCCTGGAAAACCCGCCGCGCCAAGCCGCCGCAGGCCCAGCACCCCCGCGCAGCTCCAGCACTCCTGGAGAAGGGCCCCCGGACGCCGCAGCCGCTCCGACCCCGTGCAGCGCAGCGTGAGCCGCGCCAGCGGCCCCGCCGGCGCCGCCTTCGGCCGAATCCTAACCCACATCGGCACCCTTGGGGAAGACCGGGTCTCCACCATGGAATGCGATTGTACCACCGTCAAACTGTCAGCCATGCTTGCCACCTGCTGCTTCATCTGCCACAGCTGTTGCGCAGTAGGCATACCCATGCTGGCCAACAAGTGCACGGATTGGGCCGTCGACGTCGCCCTACCACAGCGATTTCGGCCTGCCACCTGCCAGCCGCGGCATGAGGGGCGCGACGACGACGACGCAACCCACGCGCCGCTCTTGGGCACGCCCACCACCGAGCGGCGCATGCAACCCGAGTGGCCCAGCCGAGGGGCGCACGCAGCCGAGCGCCGCGCCAGCATCATCCAGGACGACAGCCGCACGCAAGCCCCGGGGGGCGCTGCCGAGCGCAGAGTTGTCGAGCGACGAGCGCCGCTCAACGTTCCCGCCCCCCGCCGCCCCGCCAGCCCCCGACAGCCGCCCCGGGCGGCCACCATCCCCGCGGAAGTGGCGGCCACATCTACCCCGACGGCCCCCAAGCCAGCGAGCGCGCCC